ATTATAAAAATACGTGTCTCTTTCAAGCAATAGATCGAATAACTGTCGAGCAATATTAAGACGGTCACAATTTGCATACATGGCGATTAAAGTTGTGCCAATGAAGCGATTGAGCTGGAGGGCGCTCCTAAGCACAAAAGAATGAGCCCATATCCCCTGACTAACCGCACCCAAATCAGCACAATCACTAATTAACGCCACCAAACTAACCTTATTAGGACTAGCCAAAGATTTCTGCATTTGATTAAACAAAAGCAAAACTTCCAATGACAAATTAGTGCTATCATAAGCATTATCAAGAATGGCTTCATATTGAACATAAGTATTATGGGCATAAGCTGTAAGTATGGAGTTCCAAGAAGCTAAATCCGGCCTTGTGATTTGATCAAAGAGGAATCTTGAAACCCCAAATTCGCCACTCCTGGAGTAGAAATTAAGCAACGAGGCTTGAACAAAATGATCATAAGGTGGTTCAAGGAATTTCAAGACATGGGTGTGCAAGGCACGACAATGTTGAAGCCATGGTTGAGAACTAATTTTTTTAAAAAGAGACGAGTAAGTGTAATTATTGGGATTCAGAGTGGTTTGAGTGAGAATACGAGTGTAAAGAGCTAAAGAAAAGTGAACTTGATCATCTTTCCTAGCAAGGGATGATAAGATTAGGGTGTTGAACAGGAAAATTGTTGGATTGCTTGCTTGGTTGAAAATGGTTAACGCATAGGAGTTGGTGGAGGCTAGGGTGGAGGACAAAATGAGTATGCAACTAAGAGGATAAGTGTGGAGAATAAGTCCAGTTGTGATCATTTGAGCATGCACTTGCTTGAGGGTGGCTATGTTTTTGCATTGTTCTATGAGTTTGAAAATTGGGTGGGCAGATTTTGAGCTCAACGTTTTCATGTGATGTGCTCGAAGTTTTGCAAGACAAACATAACCTTTCATAAGTCCTTAGTGCAGATTGAGATTTCTTCTTTTGATGGTGCACTTGCACAGGATTAATCGCACGGCAGAACCCAACAACAATTCAGATCATGCCCACATCTGAAAATTAAATAAAGACATAATTAGCTCATCATTTCAACATATACAAATTTAGCACCTATGTGAACAAAAATCATACATCTGGTCATTATGGTCAAGATTTCTTTTTTTTAATCGATTTAGTTACAGATTGATATAAAAATTTGTTCAAATAATCTCACCACCATGCTCAGATCACATAACTTTCAATTAGGATAGTCACAATCTTCCATTATAAATAAAATAAGGAAAAACATAAACATAATCAAAATTTGATAAATAAACTAAAATTCAAAAATCCTTATGAAAAAAACACAAATTACCAATAAAAAGAAAGTGAAAATGTGAATCACAACATCTTTCCATAAAGTGAGAAAGTTAGTACTTCCAGTTATTTTGAACAATATATATCAAACATCACCAGCGTTTTGCAGTCTAGAAGTCATAGTTCATATGAAAAAGCGAATCTAATGCCATAGTCAACTGAGGTGTTCAAGCATTTAGTCTTCTACGGAGCCCAGCAAATGCGCGACATGCTTAGCGCTAGCTTAACAGAATAGAAGCAACTCAGAGAGGTTGTTAACAGCTTGTGCATGAGCTCAAGTTGCCACATGGGAGGCAGTTATATGCAAGTCGCAATAATTTTACTGAAATTAATTAGGAGAATAGCTTATTACTCATGCGGTATATAGAGTAGTGAGTATTAGCAGTAGCCTTGTGTCGGTGATAACTTATACCAGATATAGTTTCCTGGACCCAAATTTTAGCATTCAAACTCATAGTTCCTGAGTTGATGGTCATTGACTCATTGGTACCAACTGGTTTTAGAGTCATTTGAATCCTCGAAACAATGTTGAAATGGCTAAAAGACCGCCAGAATATACTGAAGTGGATGTAAAAAAACTCACTAAGCAGCCTAAATAGTTGCCACCTCACAGGGGTAGATGACAGAATACCCTCGGTCAGTGACCGTATACCAGTGAATAAGGAGACTTATATATTTTTTGATAAGTAAAAAAGAAAAACATCACACGTTTGTTTTGGCTGGAAAGAAATTTTGTTCTTGTCATTTGTATACTACCACAAGGACTCAAATAGATGCACCTACGGAGCATAAGTTTTACAAACCACTCACTGAGGACTTATTAGATGAATTGGATGAACCAAGATATTTTCTAAGGTGGATCAGAGAGCAGGTTACCATCAATTTATAATGACAGTTGAGATTATCTTCAAAACAAATATATTAGTGATGCTATTTGGCCTAACCAATGCACCATCCACCTTAAAAGGCTCGATGAACACCATCTTTAAGCCTTAATCATGTAATTTGTATTATTTTTCTTCAATTATATACTAATTTCCTTCTTCAGTAGTTCAGTAAGAAGTTTAATTTATGCTCTTGATCGTTTTTATTCGGGATTTATTATGGAGACAAATGCTAGTGACCGTGGTAGTAGTAGCAGTGTATTTTCTTATCAATTATCAATTACTATCAACTTACACTTGATCTATTTATGCAATATTTAAGTAGTCATATCACTTTTTAATTTTCAGAATAGGCCCCCAACCCAAAAAAAAGCTCAAATTTCTGTTAAGCCAAAGGTGCATACTAACTTTCAGTTTCAAGCATTGCCAAGTCAAAGAGAGTTCAAATTCGCCATTTTTATCAAGTGGCTTCAACTATAAAATATTACAAAAATACACTACTTGATTTAGCCATCATATTAAAAAAGAAAACGTCAAGTAATAACACAAGAACATAAATAAAGGGGAAGAGAAGAACGTAGACCTACTTGGAAGAATAAACCTATGAAGGAGTAGCCATTTGACTCTTCAATTTCACTTTAGTCCCTTTTTTATTTCCCATGCACTAGAGATTTTCTCCCCGCCGCCTCCTTCCAAAAATGCCGAGATTGTCAATCTGTTAAGGAGACCAGAGCATTCTTCTCTAAGGGCAACTTTGGCATTAAGGGAAACTTTTTTTTCCCGCCGTGTTAAAAGAGATACTTTACCCTCGGTAGAGAGGTTTTAATAATATTATAGCCTTTAAAATTTGATAAATCCCTTTAAACCCTCACAATCCCTTTCTTCCGTCGACAAATCCCAATCACAGTTCTTTCTGAAGAATTTTTACATTCTCTCTTTGAAATCAACCCTCTTTCTATATTGATTTTATAAGATTTTCTTCTAAAGCTCATAATTTTGTCTAACAATAGAAAAGAAAATAATAAATTTTTTGTCAATCTGAATTTTGTCATGGCCAGACTTTGGAGCTTTTCTGGGTTTTCCCTTTTCTTGTTGGCGTTCCGATGGAGGGATATCACCAGATAGATATTAATTATTTGACTCGATTGTTCGAATTAAAATTGTCAATCAATAAATTTTTAATGTGTTTGACTCTCCACCATTGACAGCCAGGTTTTGAAGCTTTGAAATTGAATTCGGATTTCAAAGAATATTAGTGTTTGGATTAGGTGTTATTACAAACGATTGAAATATTCTATGGAGTTTGTATCTCAATTTTGAGGGTATGTGGTGAGGATTAGATTTGATTTGGGCTGGATTTTCAGAAGAAGAAAAAGAAGAACGCTCGCATACAATATACATACAAAATTGCATTAAAGTTGTATAATAATTGCATGAAATTTGTATGAAAACTATATTTGATTGTATTTTATTTTTAGTTGTATTTTTTAATTGAATATTGTATGAAAGTTAAAAATTAGTTGTATACTGTATGAGTCGTTGTATGAAATTTGTATTTAAGTTATAAATATTATTTTTTTTACATAAAGTTATTGATATGTATCAAATTGTATTAAGAGTCAAAGTTTTGATTGGAATTTCAGAGATGAAGAAGAACACACCACATACAAAATATATACAAATCATATATAAAGTACATACACAAAACATATTGTATAAAATTTGTATGAAAATCGTATATATATATTGTATAATGTTCTAGGTATTTAACTGGGTAAGAACAAGTTATAGAATACTGAAATTGTTAGCATTGTTTACTTGGTTGAAAATGGTTAGCGCATAGGAGTTGGTGGCAGCTAGGGTAGAGGAAAAATGAGTATGCGACTGAGAGGGTAAGTGTGGATAATAAGCCCATATGTAATCATTTGAGCTTGCACTTGCTTGAGGGTGGCTATTTTTTTGCATTATTCTATAAGTTTGAAAATTGGGTAGGCAGGTGAAGCCAACACTAAATACTTCCACGGTCTTATTAGAGGCAGAAGAAGGAAACTCTATATCCACAAAATCAAAGACGAGAATGGATAGTGGATCCAAGGTGATGAGGCTATTGGTAAAGCAACATGTGATTTATACCAAGACCTTTTCACAAATCCAGGAGGAGTCATCAGGGAAGATCTGTTGTCATGCATCCCCTCCATGATCACTCCTGAGGGTAATGTTATTCTGTCAGCAGACCTAACCTTACAGGAGCTCAAAGAAGTTGTGTTCTCTATGAATCCCACAAGTGCTGCAGGGACAGATGGTTTCAATGGAAAATTTTACCAATCTTGTTGGGACATCATTAAGGATGATCTGCTAAATGTTGTATTAGCTTTTTTTGCGGCTGCAATATGCCAAAATACATGACCAGTGCAGGCTTGGTTCTCCTCCCCAAGGTGGAATTTCCAAACACTTTATCTGAATTCAGACCTAGCAGCCTCAGTAATTTCATAAACAAGATCATCTCCAAAGTTATAGGTGCTAGGCTTGGGCCTATACTTTCAAGAATTATTTCTGCTAACCAATCAGGTTTTGTAAAAGGAAGGAATATTTCTGAGAATATCATGCTTGCTCAAGAAATTATCCATGGCATCAAAAAACCAAATGAGGGATCCAATGTAGTCATAAAGTTAGATATGGGTAAAGCATATGATATGGTCTCCTAGAGTTTCACTTGCATAATGTTGAGGAGAATGGGATTTTGTGAGATGATCATTGATATGATATGGAGAACCATGTCCAACAATTGGTATTCAGTCATTGTAAATGGAACTAGGCATGGTTTCTTCCATTCTACAAGACTAAAGCAAGGAGATCCCTTTGCCCATTCCTTGTTCATCATTGGGGCCGAGCTTCTGTCTAGAATGCTTAACACCCTCAATCATAATCAGTTTTTCAATGGTTTTTATATGGAAAGCAGGGACCATCAAGTCAATCACCTCAGCTTTGTAGCTAATATCATCATATTCTCCTATGGTAAAAGGTCACCTCTTCAGAAAATCATGTGGCTATTGAACAAGTATGAGGATACTTCTGGCCAACAGATCAATAGGCAAAAAAGTCATTTCATGACCTCCCTCTGTGTATTTCAGTCAACAATTAGAAGAATCCAAGCAGTCATAGGTTTCTCCAAAAAGCTATCCCCTCTCACTTACCTGCGATGTCCACTGTATACTCGCAGGATGAAAATCATCCACTTCAACAATCTAATCTCCAAAATTGCGGGAAGAATCAGGGGATGGCATGGCAAAATGCTATCACATAGAGGAAGAGCTACTCTGATAAAGCATGTTCTCCAATCTATGCCAATCTATCTACTGTCCGCAGTCTCTCCTCCTAAGACAGTCATGAAACAAATTGAGAAGCTAGCAGTAAACTTCTTCTGGGGCATGGAAGATAATGAAAGGAAATACCACTGGGCTTCATGGAATAAATTATGCTTCCCTATGAATGAAGGGGGTATGTGATTCAAAACCATAGAAGACATTTGCAAATCAATGGAATACAAACAATGGTGGCACTTCAGATCTACTTAATCCTTGTGGAGTAACTTCTTTAAAGCCAAGTATTGTCAAAGATCCAATCCCATCTCCAAAAATTGGGTAAAGTACAATCACAAGCATAGAAAAGATTGAAGGTCAACAAGAAAGAAGTTGAAAAGAACATCTAATGGAGACTCCATTCTGGAAACTACAGTTTTTGGTGGGAGAAATGAAGGAGGCAGACCTAGGAATATTTTAGTCTCCTATTTTTGGAACAATAGCTGGTGGAATCTTCAAACACTCAATGAGAGTACCCCACCTCACATGATCCATTTGATAACTCAGATCCCAATCTTTTTCAATAGCAACTTGCAAGACAAGGTCATCTGGACCCCTACTACTGATGGTAGGTTCACCTGTGCTTATGCATGGGAATTAATCAGAAAAAAAAAGCAACCCAACTTATTCAATAAGATGACATGGCATAAAAAAATTCCATTCAAATGGCCTTTTTGCTTGTGGAGAACTCTCAGAAATAAATTCCCAACTGATGACGGGGTGCTAGTTTTTAGCAATCCTACTGTTTCAAAGTGTGTTTGTTGCTCTGTTCACTCTAGTGAAACAGATGACCACCTTTTTAATGTGGGTAACTTTGCCAGAATTGTGTGGAGAAAATTTGGAGGGCCAGTTGGAATTCAAACTGAAGACATGCCTCTCAGAATACTTTTGATGAAGTGGTGGCTTCTCAGCGGTCACAATGAAGTACAAAGACTCATCTTAAATACCTTGCCTATCATAATATGTTGGAATCTATGGAAGAATATGTGCAATGCCGAATATGGAGCCAAACTATCCTCCTTGACCAGAGTTTTATTTTTTATTAACTCTAACATCAACCTCTTGCTTCGAGCCAACTATCCAGAAATCAAATGGCTTATCAGATGTTCGGATTTATACTCTTTCATTGAGAACCTCCATCACCAAACCATCTCCATCCAGGTAATTTTGAAGAAACCAAGCCATGGCCTTGTAAAGATCAACAGTGATGGGAGTGCACTCATAAACCTAGGAAAGATTGGCGCAGGGGTGATTATTAGGGATGATCATAATTGTGGCTTCATACACGCCATTATTGCACCATGAGGGGAAGGTACCAATAACCTTGCAGAAATTGAAGCAGCTTTCTTAGGTATCCTATGGTGTTTGAGTAATGGATACTCTCAGATTCACCTGGAATCAGATTCTACTTTAGTTCAATGGTTAAACAATGGCAAAGGGTTTCCATGGACCATGAAGATGAAACCTCAACAACTCTCAAACCTCTATCATCAATGTGAGGAGTTCACATGCTCACACACATATAGAGAAGCCAACTGTCCTGCTGACTCTCTGTCAAAGCTCTGCCATCAATTTTCAATTCTTACCAATTATACCTTACTCTCCTCATTGCCAAATCAAATAAGAGGCCAGATCCTGCAGGACTCCCTAGGTACCTCAACATTCAGGCATAAGAAGACAAGGAAAATCAGGTTTTCATCACAACAAGCTACTATACCTGAAGCAGATTTGGTATTGCTACTACGGATGCCTCTTGACAATGATCAACATAGTAGGCTAGTCACAATATTTCAAATTACCACTGACTATGGCAACACCAATAACAACAGTTCCTCCCTCATGTGGAACTGTACAGTTATGAGTTTTTCACTAATTGTTTTGCTCTTTTGCATGTTTCACTATCCTATGACCTATCCAACTTTTTGTTGTTATTTCAGGGTGTGGTTGTGATCATTCTCCTGAAATCCCAACAAAGGAAGGATAAAGGTTATAGAGAGAAGGAGGTTCACCCTAAAAGACATAGAATTGGATCCCACAGATACATGCCCTTTTCATTATCCATACAAGAACACAACAACACCCTATTTCTTTCCCCCAACACACATAAACACTCACATAACCAACCAAACACCTATATACATCAATCAAGAATCACCTACCCTCATCCATGCTGCATCAGTTTACACAAGAACCTGATTGCAGAAAGCATCAAATCTAGAATTCTAGGCAGAAATGATCAATTTCTACCTAATACTGCTCTCTCTTATGCAGTTTCCATCCTCTTCCTCAAGCTCAACCAATTGATTTATCTTCAGAGTGTGGTAGCGTCAACCATGATGTTCATTCATATGGAAATATATCAACTGGCTGAAGCACACCACTAATGCCATAAAGCAACAGCTCCAACTTCAGTCCTTCATAAGACTCATTATATCTACACTTGTACCTTCCCACCTATTTTTCACCTTCTCAACCATAGAAATATCCATCAAACTGTATACAGCCAAAACAAGAACCTGCAAATAGTTTCTCACTCAAAAGCAAAGATACCGTCCCTCTTTCTAGACCCCATAAGAACCTGGAAACAAGGGCTTCTTTCACTAACATATTTGCTATTTTTTGCAGGTACATGGAACTAGCTTGGTCAATTGCTGCACTTTCAGTCAGTGGTATCAGCATCTCAGATGCTCATTTTGCTGAAAGTGCATCAATTCTACCAAGTCTGCCAATCCAACTCCCAACTCATCTCCCCACACCCACAATTGCTTACCTTCATCATTATGTCAACGGCAGCTCCAAAGCAAACACTTCCAGGAGATCCCCGTTTCTATTGATCGCATGAAGCAACAACAATCACAGCAAACTGTCAAACTTTGTTGCCCTATGCTTCCACAAAGAAAACACTAACATGAGACTTCTCATTATCCTATCTCTATGTAGCAGGTCCATTTACAGAAACCTGCCACCAATTCCACTTTTCAGTCACCAACTTTAGTTACCATGCATTTTTTAGTCAGCAACTCTCAACAACATGAGTCTACCCATGACAACCTCTTACCTAGCATTCAACAGCTAGTTGCCAGCATAATCCTTGGTGGACATTTGAAGAAAGATAGTGTTCACCCCCTTCTGTCAATAATAACAAGCAACAGCTCTCCAGTCCAGTTTATTGGATCCTTTTGAAATTTATCTTCTATCTTGCTTTCTTTGTCTCCAATGCCAAAACAGGATTGAAGATAGCCCATTCCACTACTACATGTTTTTTGTCACCCCTTCACGGTCCTTTCTACATTTTTGCTAGGTGTAGGATTTGTAACATAGGGAAGATGATCTTCCATCTCACTACTTCAGTAGAGTTAGGACCACTTGTGTATTTCTGTATAGTTGACCTAGGTTTACATCACTCTAATTTTGTACATCTAGTTATCTACCACCATTGGATAGATAATTGGTATATCACTATAGGTCTTAATCATCACAACATCCAGGGCTCATTTAGTTGTCATGTTTGGACAACTAAATGATCTAACATCACATTTCTGGAGGTCAGGTCCATCCCCCCTCCATTATTGTAATTTTTTTATATGAAAACCAACCCTAGGCACAATGCCTAGTGGCTTAATTTAAAAACAAAATTGGGTGGGCAGATTTTGGGCTCAATGTTTTCATGTGATGTGCTCGAAGCTTTGCAAGACAAACATAACCTTTCACAAGTCATTAGTGTAGAATGAGAGCTCTCCTTTTGATGGTGCACTTGCACAGAATTAACCGCACAACAGAATTCAACAACTCTGATCATGCCCACATCTAAAAAATAAATAAAGGCATAGTTAGAACTCATCATTTCAGCATATACAAATTTAGTACACATGTAAACAAAAATTATACTTCTGGTCATTATGGACAAGATTTCTTTCTTTTTTTTAATCAATTTAGTTATATAAGAATTTGTTCAAATAATCTTACCACCCCGCTCAGATCACATAACTTTCAATTAGGATACTCACAGTCTTCCATTATAAATAAAATAAGGAAAACCATAAACATCATCGAAAATTGATAAATAAACTAAAATTAAAAATCCTTATGAAAGAAACACAAATTACCAACAAAAAGAAAGTGAAAATGTGAATCACAACATCTTTTAATATAATGTATATATATATATATGTAGAGAGAGATGTTATTACTTTTGCTTTAGGTCCTATAATTTTTTAGGAGTTGTTGAACCTTTAAGAGATATATACTTTTAGAAAATATAAATGAATTAAATAATTTTCTATATGTATTTGCATAATATTGGTTTGAAATAAATTTAAGTAGTGTAATATGATTAGTAACGATTCATAACTAGTTTTATTGTTGTATGTAAGATAGTTTGTTTTATGAAGTAAATGAACAAGGGATTGGTAGCATATTGTAAGTTGTTGCCATTGTCTAGTGTCCTCTCATCTCCTTTCCTCCTGTATTCTTCATTTCTTCTCATCTCACTAATCTGGTTCTCCCTCGGTTACTGTTATGACCTTAGTTTCATTGTAATATTTTCAGTGCTATCAATATTATCGGATCACTTCTCCCAATTAATCTGATAATGAAATCAATCTGTATGGACTAATTTGGTTGCTCAAGTAATTCTGAAAGTCAACACTCCCAATGAACAATCAGATTGATTTCATTATCAGATTAATTGGGAGCCAAGTAATCCGATAATTGTCATGACCAATTCCCCGAATCCGGTCGTGATAGCGTCTCTCGTGAAGACAAGACCAGCCAGACCAAAACAGACCACCTCTTTTAAACAGTTAAATACCATAAGTAGTTCTAAAACATGATATAATAATCATAATTTTCGGAATTAACGATAATAACAGTAGAAACCATCCCGACACAGCCCAAACCGGGGTGTCACAAGTCATGAGCAACTAAGAAATCCGGATACAAGTCTACAGAACACTAAATCCGATATAATAGTTCTAATAACATGAAAATGATAAGATAAAGGAGGCACAGGGCTGCGGACGTCAACAACTACCTCGTAGTCTCTGAAAACACTGCCTGGATTGGGAGAATCAACACTCAGGAGCGGACTCTGCGATGCTTGTATCTGCACACATGGTGCAGGGAGTAATGTGAGTACTCCGATTCAG